TCTCTCTCTCTCCCTCTACTTCAAGATAGGCAAGAACACTCAAAATTTAGCCTTAGTGAGTAGAAAACCGGCAAAAGCAACCACTCGCTGGCAAAATTGTTGATAGGTCCCTCATTTTCATGGGATCCTGAAGGTCAACAACGGGTCACTGGAATGTGTCAGTACCAATTTACTACCGAAATAAATGAAAAAAATCGTAACGAGTATCTTAGAAATACGTACAAAAAAATCGTACCTTAGAAAAAAAAATCGTATCTTATCTTAGAAAAAAATCGTATCTTAGAAAAAAAATCGCAAAAGAAATCATATCTTAGAAAAAAGCACAACATCTGCCACTACAGCATCACCCAGCGCTCAAAAAGGTGGGGGTATCATGTCAAGCAGTACCGGCAAGCGGCGCCATAACACTCGCAGCTACTAAAACTCGGCCTGGCTCGGCTCGGCCGGCCCATACACGATTTGCGAACGATTCTTCTTGTCGCAACTAGGCCATGTGCCACTGCGAACAAACAAAAGAGCATATGTTGCTGAAAACAGCTCCGAAAGCGAAGCCCTACCTTGAACAAAATAACCATAACAAGATCGAGTCGCCAAACTTTATCGGCTTGTCGCAAACAGTCAATTCTTCGCATTTTTCCCTTTTGATCCGGATTCGATAGTATACATACGGCTGGCCGTTGCCCAGTTACACAGAGTACAAAATCTTCCCGACAATGGGGCTGAATATCTTTGCGCAGTTTACCAAGCAAACGAGCTGCCCATTTTTGTTTTGTTTCGACCCGTTCATTCTGAAGCTTATCACAATGAATATAGAAACAATCCGCCAAAAAAAAATTCTAACCACAGCAAAAAGATGTACCGTAATATTTTCAGGCACTGTTGCACTGGAAGTTATCTTTATAAAAAAACTAAGAATCTCCGGAACCGCAAACACAAATTCAGCTTCCCCAAAAGTACAGATCTCACACAAATACGCGTAATTTTTGGCACCAAAATTAATAACTCGGGAGCCAGAAAAGCTGGAAGGCTGAAAATTTAGGAGAATGTCCCTTTCTCACGTATGACCCTGAGAACAAAAACCCAGCTTCCTAATGTGCATAGGTCTCAAGTAATGACACGTGGAATTTTCGGCGCCAAGTAACAAGTCAGGAGCCAGAAAAGCTGGGAAGCTGAAATTTCAGAATTCAATCGATGCGCACGCCTAAGTCTCCGATAGGGATATAAGTAAATTTTGATGTATGCTTGTTTAGCTAACCTATTGATTTACCCCCAGCGCTGCTTCGAAACGGCAAAAAAACTTATTCCAAGGCCCTAGAGCCCTAAAACTGATAACGAATGTACCATAAGTGCTTCTTTGCAGCTTTTTTCCTCCTCCACCGTCATACGCTTTTCGTTCTTTTTTACATAACGTCGTTTTGCGGCCTGCAAATTGAACCAGACGTAGCTGAAATCCTTCACATACGGCAGTAGCGCTTCCACAAACGGATGAAATTCATCCTGAAACAACACGGATGAAATTCATTTTTTTTAGCAAGCCGAAAAAACACTTTTCTTTGAGAGTTATTTTAAAAATTGTTCCTTTAAAATTATACTTAGAACGATTGGCTTCACCGAAAGGTAGGTTGTAATGCCTCGAATATCAGGGGGTAAGGG